CGTGACGGAGGGCGGAGTGGGGAGGGAGGGGAAAAATGAGGAGCTGATGCCAGGGGCTTAGGTGGAGAGCAAATGTTTTGAGAATGATGGGGGCAATGAATGTACAAATGTGCTTTACACAATTGATGTATGTATGGATTGTGATAAAAGTTGTATGACCCCCTAATAAAACGATTAAATAAAAAAGAGGGGTCAGTTCAGAGAGGGCCAGCTGTCACCACACCCTCACCTACCGGCTCAGGGACCCCTGAAGCCGTCGCACACAGCTTCCAGCCATCCTGCCTGGACTGCCTCAGGCCACCCACTAACCCTGCCGCCTTCCTGGGACAGGTCTCTTCCCCAAAAGAGATCAGGTCCCTGCTGGGGCTGCCTCTTCCCTCCCAACCACCTGGCTGGCCCAGCCTCTCCCTTTACAGGACCGGTTCTCCGTGTGCTTACAATACACTCCCAGTCCCTGCACACTCGATTCCAGCTGTACAGCAGAGATGATTCAAGATATGCCAGGGGAACCCAGGGCTCAGGTGTCCAGCTTTCGGCCATCCCATCCTGGGGCGCCCACCCTGCCAGATCAGTGACACCAGGGACACAGCTCCGCCCTCACAGGCAAAGCTGCTTTCTGGGCCAGGCCGGACCCTGCACCCCTGCACCGACCGACCACACAGCTGAGCGCTGTTCCTGGAAGCCATGGAGCCCTGGGGTCCAGTCTCTGGCTCGTCATTCTTTTCTCTCAGCACGTGCACAATTATCACCAAAATATAGAGTAAATGATTTTTTAAAAATTGATTTCCCTCTATTTAAGTGAAGGTTTAATTTAGCACAACCCTGCAATTCTGTATTGGAAGTGTGGGGTTATTTTTAATATCTTTATCCCCTCCCCCTCCACCACCCCCCATCCCCTGCCATACAATCAATCCATCTTCCAAGGAATCTTTCTGGAAATGGCTTGGGGGCAGGGGGGGGGGTGTAGGGATCACCTATCACTTGCCAGCCTGCACGAAAAACTGGGTGCTTTTTGTTTTTTTCTTGAGACGGCTGCAATCTAATTGCTAACTGTTTACACAAATAACACATAAATCGAACGAAACAGAAGCGGTAACTGGCGCGTTTCCAACAACGAGCCTCGACAGCCTCTTATCCCAAAGCGGGAGGAAGAAAGTAAACTTCAAAATGATTTGAGGGAAAGGTCTATTTTCATGACAGATGGCAGTGAGGGCTCTTCAATGCCAATTGAATCACTTTCCCTGGGTTTTCAGATGCTGCGTGGCTCCGGCTCCGAGGGTGTGTGCAGGCAGCACGGCACACCGCCTGCCACACCAGAACGAGGCAGAGGGTGAGGGTGACTCGTGTGCCGCGGGCTCACCAGCGGGTAGGAGTCGTCTCAGGGCAATTCTGCCCCAGCTAGCAAAGAAAAGGGCTCTTTTGTCTCACGTGCTGTGGGCACGTTACCGGGAGGGGTCCGTTCTGGAGAAGGGTGTCGTGCGGGGTGACGGAGAGGGCCGGAGAGAAAGAGGGAGCCCTTGCCGAGATGGGCTGGCACCATGGCCCGGACAAGGGGCTCCTACATCGTAGTCGCTAGGGAGATACCAGACCCAGCAGCGTTCCATTCTGTTGCCTATGCTGCTGCGAGGGACCTTGGACTTGTCTCTCGCAGTGACTCCCAGGACCCACAGAACAGGACCACCCGGTCCTGTGCCATCCTCACAAGGGTTACGTGAGCAGCCACCGTGCCCATCTCAATCCCTCTATCGAAGGCCTTCCTGTTACCTCTGCCCTGGCACTTTACCAAGCAGACGGCCTTCTCCGGGGACTGGTCTCTCCTGATGACATGCCCCAAGTCCGTGAGCCCATGACACACCGTCCCGTTTCCAAAGTGCATTCCCACAGCACATCGTCCAGGACAGATGGTTGTTCCGACGGTCCACGGTGCTCTGTACTCTGTCCCAGCGTCGTCCCTCAAGGGCATCAGTCCTGGTCACCGTCCGGTGGCTTTCAGGTGTACACGAGGTGGCTGAAGACACCGAGACCCTGAGCCTTCGTGTCAAAGGGACACCTTGGCTCTGTCACTTCAGAGCTCTCCTGCAGCAGTTGCCCAGGGCGACCCACCCTTGATGTTGGACCGCTGCTTGCTGCGGTGCGTAGTGGGGCGGGAGGTCAGACCTGACATGGCAGCGCCCCGTGACAGCTCCGTCTGGTGACAACACTGAGAAGCTGTTCTTCCTTCGGGCGCCTGAGTCTTCAGGCACAACAGGCTGTGCCAAACAGGAAGCAGAGACCAGAGGGATGCCTTCGGGGCCGGGAGACCCTGCCCACTGAGCCCCGATCGATGCAGACCCTAACGGTACTGTCTCTGACATTCCGAGGTTTTCTGTTGGCCCCTTTCATCTCACACAGGAAGGATGCAGCATCTTCCCAGCTGGGATTCAGACTCCCGGTCCAGCGCGCCTTCAACTCCATCTCCGTGCATCTTTCCATGATGCCGTCTTCACCGGACGGATGGTATTCTGACTCCGTCTTCAATACCGGGTTTGATAACTTTCAATCCGATCGGAAAATAGAGAGGCTCATCATGAACGCCCTCACTGAAGGGCCTTCTGTCCCTCTGCCAGAGCCCACCCTCAGGGAGGTGCCCTTGGGGAGGTAATGTGGGAGCTTTCTTCTCTGTCCTTGTGAGCAGAGGAGCCCCAGTGGCACAGTGGGTTAAGCGCTGGGCTAACTGCAAGGGCAGCAGTTTGAAGCCAGCAGTGGCTCCTCTGGGGAACGAGGCTTTCTACTCTCATGAGCCTCTCTACTCATCGAGCCTCGGAAACTCACGGGGCAGTTTTACCGTCCGATAGGCTCCTTCTGAGTTAGCATCAACTCGGAGGCTCCTCGCTGGCTCACAGGGTCCCCAGCCTTTCCCCCTTGGCAGAGCTGCTGGTGGCTCTGAACTGCCAGCCATGGCGATGGCATCCATGTGTAACCCCCCCCCATGTGTAACCGTTGGCAGGGTTGGGGTTCTGGTGTTTTGGGGGTGAGAGGCACCTAAGGGATGAGGCCGACGGGACATCTGGCCGAGGAGCTCTAGCTGCCCTGCGCTGGTGACCTCAGCTCCTGTTGCACTCAGGACCATACCCACGCTCTCCAGGTCATCTTAACCCCACTGCCCTCAGATGCCCCTGTGGCACCGAGCAGAGCTGCCCCACAGTGCTCCCAAGACCGTGGCTTTGACGGCCACAGGCTGCCACGTCTTTCTCCAGGGGAACTGCTGGTGGGTTTGAACTGCTGACCATTGGCTAGCAGCAGAGCGCTTAAGTGACTGTGCCCCAGAGGCCCTGGGCAGTGCCTTGTAGCTGCTGGTCCTAAGCCCCAGGTGAGATCAGGAGGTCCCCCAACAGTGCTAGGTCTTCTCCAAACGAGACATCCTGCTGTGCAGGAAATGGTGTGGAGCACCTAAAACTCAAGAGCCCCAACCCTCTGTGGTGGTCGCTGCCCCACACCAGGGCACTGTCTCAAGCCTTTCCCTCTCCTAAGCCCCCAGGAAGCAGCCCTCCTGGCGTAGTGGTTGTACGTTGGGCTGCTCACTATTAGAAGTTCGAAACACTAGTTGTTCTGTGTGGGGCGGGAGAAGATGAGGCTTTCCACTGGGGCAGCTCGCCCTGCCCTGCCCTGCCCTACAGGGTCATCAGTTGGCAGGGCCTCCCTAACAGTGAGGTTTTGGTTGGCGCCCCAGGAGGCTCTCTCCCTGTGCCTCCAGCCCTCTGACCCACAGTAGCCCCCTTTGTGGGGGGCAGGCAAGCGGCCTGACGCCAATGCCTCTCCCAGGGTAGGTCTCCTACTGCCTCCCCATCCTCAGCGACAGTGGGGACACCACCACTTCGAGGTCCAAAGGCCCTTTGGGGGAACCCAAGATGGTTGCTGGAAAACCCACCCGGCGCATGTATCCGTCATAAAACAGGCACAGACCAAGGCATTAACCACGGTCTCCATTTAATAAGCGTGTTAGTCAAAAGTGTGGCTTTGAAACCCTCTAGCTGGCTGTGAGAAGCGAGGGGCCGGGGACCCTCGGCTGCAGGCAGGAGCTGTGCTCGGCCCTCACTGCTGCGATCCCCCAAGGTCAGCTGAGGACCCGGGGAACCACCACCAACAGGAAGCCCGTTTCTAGAAATCACTAGACAGATATATGTGAGCAGATCGATTTCTTTATAGAATCAGGGTTATCATCAACGTTTAAAACTATCAAAAATAAGGGTGCCACCTTACAGTCATCTTCTTTGGGTAGGGGGGAGGCTACTATTTTTTAAGGGGACGGAAAAGAAAGGGGCGGGTTCCCCACAGCGCAAGTCCCACCGGTGCAGAGGGGACCCATCCACGGGGGTGGGGGCCGCAGGCTCCTGCACGACAGCCCTCCCCTTAGCTCTCAGAAGCAAGATGGCAACCTCATTCGAAAAAGGAAGCTAGATATTTTAAATAACTTAAAAAATCATTTTTATATAAAGCAGCAAAAACATATTCCTCTCTCTCTCTTTCTCTTGGCAGAAAAACGTCCACAGGAGCACAGGGTGAGGGGAGTGGCTGCCCACAGGAGCGGGGCCCCTCAGAGCCGTGCGCCCTCGTCCTCAGCGCTGGCGGAAGGGGCTTCTTTGGCATCTTGGCGCCCTCTCGGACTCTCCTCTAGGCTCGAGCACCTGGCTTCCGCTCGGGCCCCGTGGGGGACAGAGTCTTGACCATTGACGAGCCCGTTTTCAGCAGCCTTGGCCCGGCCTGAGGCCCCCTGCGCGCCGCCCTCCTGCTGCAGGCTCCGGAGCATGAGCGGCAGCCGCGCATCAGCCACGCTGCTCTCCAGCAGCCCCAGGGCGCTCTCCTCGTAGCGGGGCAGCGGCGCCCGCTCCTGCAGCTGCTGGCTGCACAACGCCCGGTTCCCGGCTGCGCCCCGCAGCACCTTCTCCAGAAGCTCCTTCTCACCCAGGCGCAGCTTAACGGCCATGGCAGCCCGGGCTGAGAGCGGGGCACCTTGCAGGAAGGACTTGTCTTCCTGGAAAACAAGGCGGGCGGTGCCGTCAGTGGAACCAGGTGGTGGTGGGGGTGATGGGGGGGCGGACACACACACGTGGGGGTGATGGGGGAGCGGACACACACCCACGACCACCGGTGGGTGACGGGACCTAGCGTGTGAACTCCGTCCATGCTCTCCACGCCCACATCAGACTGGGCCATTAAAGCGGATGGGCTTTCGTGTGCAGAGGACACCTCAAGGGGGCGGCTATAAGACAAGACCAGTGAGAAAAAGGCGCCCAAGGCCCCTGGGGCTCCAGCCTGTCTGACGGGGCTCACCCATGCTCACTAGCACCTTCCTGGGCACTGAGGGAACAGGGATGCCCTTGCAGGCCAATTGGCCGGCAGAAGGGCAGGTGGATACGTGGGCGGGTGGCTAAGAATAAAGTATGTGAAGCCAGGGGCTCAATGGTACCTTGGGAAGGAGCCGTGTCTGACGTGGTAAATATAGGCCTGCCTCCACGTCTGCTTGTTGATGCCGTGTAAGCGGGAGCCCTGGTGGCAGTGTTGAAAGGGCTCAAGCCCACCAGTCATGCTGCTGGCCCTGCTTCTGGAAGGGGCTGCAGCCTCGGGCACCCGTGGCTGTTCTACTCCAGCCCAGAGGGTTGCTACCATGCAGAACTGACTGGAGGGCAGTGGGTTTCAAGGACTTTTTTACTTAAGAGAATAAAGAAAGCTTCAAAAGGCTCATGACAAATGCTCATTATCTTTTACATTCATTTCTCCACAACCTTTTAGAGCCTCCCTATGACCACGTGGAACGATGAAGACCAAACACGCCCGATGATTGGGCCCAAGGCTTCCCATGAGTTCTACTTAGGAAGGGCGGCCCCATGCCAACCATCTTTCAGGGCAGCAGCGCCCCACCCCACGCCTCCCCCAGTTACCTCGATGGTGGTTTTGTAGGTTTTCAGAAGCAGCGAGGCCCTGTCTTCCAAGAAGGCCCACAGCTTGAGCTCGTTGTCCCAGCTCACAGGGAATTCCGAGTTGCCCAAGGTGAAGATTCTGTCGATGGCACTGTCCCCCAGCAGGTGTTCCCTCAATTCCTCTACGGGAACAAAGCGCGACCTGTTAGTGGAGGGAGACCGCAGCGCTCCTCATGGGAGGAGACGCCTTTCCAGCAACTCCGTTTCCCAGGTCAAAGCTCTCCCGGCTCCATCGGCAGCACCGTCTGTCTGGGATCCGGAACACGGCTGGGCATAGCACCACTTTCTAGTTTACAGGGAACCACAGCAGGTTTCGTGCTGGGCTACGACTCTCAAAGGTCAGCAGTTTGGAGCCAGCAGCTGCTCCTCGGGAGAGAGGTGAAGCTCTCTGCGCCTAGAGACACAGTTTCAGAAACCCACAGGGACGGCTCTGCTCTGTCCTGTGGGGCCTATCCGTGTTGGAATCAACATGACAGCAGTAGGATTTTAAGGGGGGGAGGTGAGGAGCCTGCTCCCCAACCAGGGTGGCACACTCCTGTGACAACAGGCTCACCAGCGGGTGGAAGGCTCTGGGAACCGTGTCTGAGGAGCAGCGAGCACCAGCCACTGCACCGGGTGTCCCCGCCCACCACCTGGCCAGGCAAGCGGGAGGCCGCAGAGACTGATGACACAGATCTTACCCAGCTCCATCTCCCTCTTGCTTGTCCAGGGCCCTGGGGGCGTAACAGTGCATAAGCATGGGGCTGCCGGTCTCAAGGCCAGCACTTCGAGGGAGAAAGATGGCTTTCCACTCCTGTGAAGAGTTAATCTGGGAAACCCACAGGGGCAGCTCTGCCCTGTCCTAGAAGGTCGGCGGCAGGGAGTTTCTCAGATGTCAGGATTTAAAGTGGAACTAAGGTGAGCATCTCAAATACCTGCCAACAGGTTTCAGAAAAGGGGCGCCTTCGGCAAGGGCCCTGACATGCCATCCCATTCAGGGGCCTGGCCGTCTGCTGTCCCTATGAGACCAAACCAACATCCACTGCCAATGCTTCCCGCTCTAAGGGACAGCCTGCGGCTGCCCAAAGCCACAGCATTCCTGGTGTCAGTGACGTCCTTCGAGGGCACACTGCTCTCTGTGCCTACAGAGAATCACTGGCCCTGAGGAGTCTGGGAGGGTCCCGGCTTTGTTTGAGAAAGCAAACGTAAGCTGGTCTCACACTGAAAGAAAAGGACGAGGGTGGGCTTGCGAGCAGAGGGCAGCTGGGGAAGCAGCCGGCACGTGGGATCCTGATCCCCAGTTCCTGCACCGTGGCTGCTGGCGGCCTGTCTCTGGAGGAGCCCACCTTGGCTTCCCCCGCAGCCTTCTCTCCGTGACGGACAGCCTGGCGTCCGTCATCCTTCGTTGGATGGAACATGCTTTGTTGACGCTGGTCAGGAGTGAACCCTCTCACACCTGGGAGAAGATGGGTGGCCCCAAGGCCCTGGGGAAGGACACAGATCCCGAGTCGGCATCCTTGCAGGCCCTGTGTTTCCTGGAGTCCTTCCTCAGTGGCCTCTGCCCCCTGCTCCACCATGTGTGCGACACTGGATCAGCAGGCCTGCGCCATGCCCTCTGCTGGGCCTGCCCTTGTCCTCAAAACACGCCTCCTCCTCAGCGCCACAGGAGCTCAGGGAGCAGGTCAGCTCCAAGCTCCGAGCAGGGGGCCTCTCTGTGGATCGAGGAGCGGCAACCCTGCAAGGCGGACTGCCAGGGCTCTCAGCCTGGGTCCTCAGGCCTGGCCAGTGGCTGCCCTCTGGGACAGAGCTTCCCCGCAGGCCACAGGAACCCATCTCACTGGCTGTGAGGGGTCAGAGGGACGACGGGACACATTTTCCATGACTGTCCGTACAAAGAACCGCCCGGTCCTGGGCCCTGCTCCCCATTGTGGCCATGCCGGAGCCCAGTGCTGCGGCCGCTGTCTCAGCCCAAGTCCTTGAGAGCCTTCCCCTTTCTGCTGACAGCCTACTAAGCAGATGTTCTTTATCAAGGCGCCCATGAGCCAAACTCTCCCCAGCCTTGCTTCTTAGGAGCATCCTGACATCCGTCTGTCTGTCCTTGTGGCCGTCCATCAGGGACATTGCCAAGCAAAACTCCATGCAATCAGGGAGCGTTCCAACATCATCTCACCTTGCCGTCAATCCCTCCAGGGCAAGAACGTGAACATTTAAGGCTACCGGGAGTTAGAGCCAAAGCACAAGACTAAGTACAGCCTGACAGGGCTGCTCCCAGGGGCCCAGTCTCCCTGTGTCCGGGGACGGTGCCCAGCCTGCTGGGCAGCACATCTCCTGGATCCAAGTCCAGAGTGGGCCACTCTCAGGGGTCCCTGGTGCTGTCTCTCTGTCCCATCCATGGATCACACACTCACTCTTTCCCACCCCATTGGTTCTGCCAGGATTTAGCAGGTTTGGGGCAGTGCCCATGAGCGGAGCTCCAAAGGACCCCTCAGGGTGTCAGGGGGACAAAGGAGCCAGCACTGTCGGACCTGGGATGAGCTGGGGGAGGCCGACTCCATGGCTGTGAGGAGGTGGTGTCCCGTACTCTGTGCTGCGGACCCCAATACGTTGCCTGGCATGAAGCCGCTGGACATTTCCAGTGACCAATGAGGTTGTGTGGCCCAGGCACCCAGCACTGACCAAGGGAACAGTAGCAGCTCTCACCCTGAGGGTTTGCCCTGCTCACCTCGCACCATTTCCTCTCCGCCAGTGCTGCCACCTGACCTGTGGCCCAGCTATGGCTTACCTTCTGTCATGCAGAAGACACGGAGGAAGGCCAGGAGCTGGGCGGAGATGGGCGGCTCCGTGGAGTGAAGCGCAAAGACGCTGGAGCTGCAGACACAGGAAGCGAGACCAGTCACCCACGTGCACCCCTCCATCTGCAGAGTGCCCACCCCATCACCCCTGCGGGCCCGGGACAGCAGAGCATGGTTGGTGCAAGCAGCAGCCCCCTGGGGGGCCTTCCCTCTCACCTATGGGTGCTAATCTCGGCCTGCAGTCTAAATGCGCCCACGGCTGAGCAGGCGGTAACGGGTCTAGATGGCACAAAGCCCCCACCCCTGTAATCTCGGGTCAAGATTATTGAGCCCAATTTAAAGAGCCAGCTTACCCAGCTCCCTAGGAAGGGGCTCTCGAGCCCTGGGGCCCAAAGATGCCTCCCGTGCAGCGGAGCCACATAGAGGGGGGCAGGGGCAGGTCTATGGATCAATCACTGCAGAGCTCAGAGGTGCTACAGAAACCCAAACGGACAAGAAATGGCAGTGACAGCCACTCCCCTCCCAAGGATGGACGGCCCCCGGTGCACTCCCAGGAACAGCGAGCATGCCCCTGGGGACATGTCGGTGTCTGAGAAGGCTCCGGCTACCAAGGCCTCCACGGCTTCCCTCAGCAGCAGGGAGGGGTCGGGACCCCCACCACCACCGGTGCCCAGCCAGTGGAAGAAGCCCAGTGAGTGCCACCTACGTGGGGATGCCTGCGCGGGCCAGGACCTCAGCCTTCATGGCATACAGCCGGTCACCCTTGCTCACGCCCAGCTTGATCTTCACCCTGTCGTGTGCATTGTGGTCAAAGAAGAAGCCGCTGTGGATCACGAACTCTGCGTTGGACCGCGTGCCGTAGAAGATGTAGATCTGCCGGGGGTGAAGGGGGGGTCAGCACGAGGGACGGTACAACACCAGATCAACTCCGCACCTGTCCGTCCTCCTGTCACCCACAGGCAGGGGGACACACACGTCCTCCTGTCACCCACAGGCAGGGGGACACACACACGTCTTCCTGTCACCCACAGGCAGGGGGACACACACATCGCAGAACCCGAGGCAGGCTGCAGAGGGCCCGGAAGGCCCTGGGTGAGGGCTGAAGGCCCTAGAAGTGCACTTCTCAGGAAACCCCATCTGCAGGACAGCACGACAGCACTCCCGGCCGACCACCTTGGAACAATCAGGCCAACCACACAAGAACCTTTGTAACCCTTCCCTTCTTCTTGGTGGACCCAGGGGTCCAAGTCACAGCCCTGAGAACCTCGCCCCATGGGCCCTGGCCTCTGGACAGGCAAAGACGCACCTGCTCGCCGGCCCGGAAGTCCTGCAGCGCCACGCACTCACAGCGGTCATCCTCCAGGTTGTAGCCGGTCGTGATCTGGGTGGGGAAAGCGTCCTCGTCATAACCACAGGCCAAGGAGGTCCGTCGCTTGACTGACTGGCATCAGGCTCGAAGGCCGCTGCTCTGAGCACGGGATTTGACGGGGCAGACACAGTAGGAGTGAGAGCCTTGGAAGCGTGGGCCCTTTATCCACTAGGAGCCTTCTGGGAAGGCTGCCCTGGGGTGGTGAGACATCCAGGGTCCCTGAGTGTGGAATATAATACAGGGATGGGCAGCTGGGACCTGGCAGAGGGGGGCCTTTGAGTCTAGGGATTGGCATTTAGCCCCCAGGTCCTGGGACCCGCGGCTTGTGGGTCACATCAAGCTTTTGTGTCTTTCACATCCTCCCGTGGCCAAAGCATTTCTAAAACTGGCCCAGCAGTTAGGTAGCCAGAACTAACCAGGACAGGTAGCAATAGGGCCCTGCAGTGCTACCACCCAATGTCTGACATGCTTTTCTAAGCTCAAACAGCACCCCGACCTTCAAGGGTGGGGCAGCATGGGCCCCCAGGCTGGCTGGGCAAGGGCAGGATGCCCCCCCATGACCTGAGGGGCTCGGGGAGCTGGACAGGAACTGAGGGCCTCTGTTCAGCTTCCTGGGAGCCCATCTCTGTCCTCAAGCTTAGTTCACAACACACAGCAGGCAGGTCCAGGCTGGGGTCTTGGGACGGACGGACGGACGGACGGACGGACGGACGGACGGACACACGGCAGAGAGGGTCTGTCTTCTTCGTGTTTCTCCCTCAGTGGGACCGTGGCACAATCCGCCCCGCCGGGACGCGGGCGGGCAGGAGACAAAGCAATGCACGTGCATCACACAGGGCCGGCGGGGGACACACAGGAAGAATGGCCACAGTCCCATCGTTTCGGGTGGGTTTCCTGCAGGTCCTTTTCCTAGGCGGGGGAATGCTTGCTGCAGCCAGATCGACTCACCATGCAGGCGCACTGCAGACAGCGGGCACTGGGAACTCAGCGGGGATGGACACAGACAGAACCTATGTTCTGGTGGGGCGGGGCTAGCAGCCCCGGCACAGACCTCAGAGGGAAGTGAGTAGGGACGGAGGGCAGGTGGGGTTAGGCATGTGGGGCAGTGTGGGCTTAGATCATGAAAGGCAAGCACGAGCTGACTGGCTTGTGCTCATTACTCTGCAGTGCTTTCATGTGAAGCTGTCCCCACAGGAAAGTAAGCAAACCCAGGGGGGCCGCACTGCCCGTGACGGGTGTTCACCCAGCAGGACTCAGGGTAGCTCCCGAGCCGCGGCACACGCCTGCAGGGGACGCAGACCCTTCTGTAAAGAAGGCAGTGCTGTCCGGTGACCTGGGAGGCCTCGGTCTGAGTGGGGCTCTATTCCTGTCCGCCTGTCCATTCAGGGCAAGCGGTTTACACACCCTCAGGGGTGCACCAACACTCCCCGAGGTGCCACCAGCTCCTTGTGGCTGCAGAGTTGCCCCAGGGCCCTCGCTGCCCCTGCCAGCCCTCCAGTGACACCAGCCACACTACCCAGCAGCCGTGCCCCCAACTCTGCCCAGTCAGTGGGGTACCAGTCCAGAATGCTCCCTGGGAGAGTGGGCAGGTGGCCCTGTCCCCTGTGCTGGGGTGGGAAGGAGGGGCAGGCAGGCCTGTGCAGTCAGGTTTCCAAACTGGCCAAGCCCTTGTGGTTCTGCAGGGCAGAGACCCCACAGGACACTGACTGCCGAGTCTTTCTCCCAAGGAGAGGCTGAGGGGGGCGGGGTCCAGCCTTTCGGTTTGCAGCTGAACACTTTAGCCGCCGTGCCACCCAGGGCTCAGGCTTCCAGTTCTGTCCATGCACATGGGTGCCCACCCTCCGGAAGCCGCCCAGTCCTAAGTGGGATTTACTTCAACGGCAGAAAGATCTTCCTGTTTCCTGAAACCCGGGTGCCAGTTCTCACCAGCTCTGAGCGACCAAGGGGCAGTGACCAAGGGTTCACAGACACACAGAGGCAGGATTCACCTACGGGACACCCCTCCAGGAAGTCCCCTGAGCCCCTCCCTCCGCCCCTCTGGTGACACGATGGGACGTGCTGGCTTGGGGAGTGTGCCAGCAAGGTGCCCCTTGCATCTGTGCAGCTGGGGCAGCCCCCCTTACTTCTGCATTTCCCCCACCCGCTCTCCCTGCCAGTACGCAGTCACACGGTCACAGGCAGGGCATCACGCCCACCCATCCTTATCTACCACTGAGGCGTCCACTCAGCCCACGGGCCTGGTCAGCAGCTAGCCACCAAGTGCCCAGAAGTAGCTCAGCAGGCCTTCTCTCAAGCTGCCTCTGAGAGGTCTGAACTGCTGACTTCTCAGTCCCCGACTCTGGAACTAAGACCAAAGCTTGCTACCCCTGGCCTCCCCGTGGATGCCCACTCACAGGGACACTGCAGGCTGCTGGCGAGCTGCCCTGTAGTTATTCTTTACAGCAGCAGACTGCCTCAAACCACTGACCTTCTGGCCTGTCCGTTGGCAGCTGGCACCTAGCCCCTGGGCTCCCAGGCACTCACCCGGGGCCTCGCTAGACACAGTCACTCAGCAAAGGGAGCCTGCACACTCATGCTGGAGACGTCGCCGACGCGCAGACGGCCGTCTCTCACAGCCTGCCTGGCCCGAGCTGCCAGCCCCTCGCTGCTCTGCTTTGGGCACACTGTGACGGGCTGGATCCTTTGCCCTTCTCCCTCCAGACCCAAGTTTGGGGACACGGTGAGAGGCAGACAGAGTTGCTGGGTTACAAATGTCTGCCGATGTGCTCAATGACAGCCAGGTCGACACAATCAGAGGATGCTCGTCGGAGACACACAGGCAGGAAGACAAGCGCTTGTCTGGGAAGCTGAGCCTGCGTCTGCAGCACCGTGCCTTTGTACAAAAGCGATTAACGGTGAATATGGATAAGATACAACGTTCAAGTATGGAAATAGAACACCTCCCAGCCCACCAGACACCATTTCCCCTCGAGTGCCCTCATTGCAAAGGGGGAGGGCAGTCTGGGGGAAGCACCTTAAGGAAGGAAGATGGGTGCCCGGCTGGCCGGGGCAGGTCCCAGACCCCGGAAGGGAACAGGGAGGATGCAGGGTCTAGTGTAACACACACTGATGCTTCGCGTTTGAAAAGGGGAAAGAAAACCATTAAATCTTCATTTCACGGAAGCATCACAAAACCAGTGTGTGTGTGTGGGGGGGGG